GACAAACTCGTTCCTTCGGTTTCATCATTAAGTTTGGAACCGGTTTCACTTTCTCTTTAACTGCTTCTCTTAAACGGGCCCACTGTGCTTCGGAATAAATCTGCACCACTCATATGAACTGGCCTTTTTTTCTACTGATTTCATCAGAAGTGTTATGCATGCATGTTGCTCCCCTGACATACTCATTGAGCTGCGACGTTGTCTTTAGTTTCATCGTAATATGGAACCAGTTTTACTTTCTCTTTAATATTTCTCTTAAAGGGCTCAGCTGTGCTTCAGACTAAATCTGCACCTCTCGTGTGTACCGTGCAGTTTTTATACCAGGAACACTGGGGGATAAAAAGCAAAGCCAAACTGTCCAGGATTGTGAAAACAGCACAAATAGAACTTTTTTTTTGCCTTGGGTCTGAAAAAAGAACCAGGAGGAGACCCGATTCAAGACTTTTAAATTCTTCAACGGTTTTGAAAAAAAGCCAACCCCAACGAACTCTGAAGTGGTTTTAAAACCACAAGAAGGAAGAACTTATTTTACACAAAGGGTGGTGGGAGTGGGGAACAAACTGACCAGACATGGTGTTGAAGCCGGTATCACGGTTTCTTTCAGGACACAGCTGGATGAGATCCTCCAATCGGGATGGGATTTTTACACAAAGAGTAGTTGGAGTGGGGGACAACCTACCCAGCCATGTTGTTGAAACTGATACCCTGGTTTCTTTCAAGAAAAAGCCGAATGAGATCCTGGGATTAATTAGCTACCAGCTACCAAACAGGCTAGATGGGTTGAATGCCTTCCTCTCTCCGATTATGTTTAAGTTCTTATGTTTCACTCCACTGGGTTTCAATTTTGTATTTGTCAAAGACTTCCGCCATTTTATTAAAGTCTGGCATTTAAAGTTCATCACTCAGCGCGCCAGGAACTGCAGCATTAGAAGGGCATGAGAAACAGCCGATTTGTTTTAAGAGCTTAATTTTTATGTCGCTCAATGTTTATTTTTTGAAAAGGTTTTAGACCGTTCGGAAATAACCTTGCTGTGTTTAGTTACGAAATTATCTCATTATGAAACTCGCCGAATGAAGACTATGCAGGCTTTTGTCTGCTGAGGGTTTCCGACATTTGCTTACAGCGGGTGGATAAGCGCACAATGCAAAACTCCACAAACAGCGTCGTTGATCTTATCACCTTAGTCTGCCTTCAGCAGACACACTTCTGTGGATGCTGGCAATGACAACTAAATCAACCTGCCTTGTCCCACAATCAGACTCCAGAGAGCACTTTGCATAGATTTCCTGAGAGGCGGGAGCTCACTGCTCTGCCCCCACGAGCTGCATTAAGTGTAAAAAGACCTGACTCCACAAGGATGACGACAGCCCAGAGACACCGCGACATGGTTGTGCAAGAGCTAGACTGGTCAGAGCATGCTTTGTGACCAATCAAACACACTCTGGGCCAGCGGCTTCCCCGGTTTCAGCGCAGTTTCATCAGAGCAGGAAGTACAGAGGCTGCGATTGGCCAAGTCAACAGAGCGGGAGGGAGCTGCCTTTGTTAGCCTGCCTCTTACAGTGCAGAGTTTCATCACTCTTCAGCAACATGCCATCTCCTTTCTAAAGGGCAGCACAAGCAGGGGAGCCACTGATCCTAATGGCCTGAAGCAACTTCATAGGGACAGCAAAGTAGGGTCAGTGTGTCTGCAGCAGGGCTGTCCAGTCCTGGTC